GCAGGCGCTTCTTGTAGTGAAGATCGGCCCAACGGTTCTCACGGCGGGTGTTCGCGAGCTTGCGCGCGGCGTTAAGACCACGAGGCTGTCCCTTACCCATCTTGGCGGATTATGTTCGGAGGACGGTCTGTAGAAGAAAAAAAAATGCGTTAGATCTTGCAGTGGCAATCTGAGGCTTGGTGATTTCGTGATTTGTGGAGGGGAACGTGGATTTCAAATGTACATGGCCGGGGCGGTGGAAAATCAAAAATCAAATAGTTCGATGTTGTTGAACGGCAGTCCCTAGACACGAATATATTTCATCAAAAAATGGCAGCAACAATATACATACCGACTGATATAGATTGCCGAAAGGCCTGATGGGGATGGTTGTCGAGAGTCGAAGGGTTCCTTTCACGGCCGGCGGTGTCGCTGAAGGCTCACCAAAATGTTCTGCTGTGCGCGCTCCGCCCTAATCGGCCGCTAAGCGAGGCACGGGATCGGAACAACTCCCGCCGTCCTCCGATATCGATAAGCCCCCTTATCAGTGACCGTCAAGCATGGATTGTATGCGGAGATTAAGCTCCCTTTATTTGCGGCTGTCAATTGGAGCTTGTTCTGTTATAGTTCGCCTGCCAACAACGTATACATTTCGAGCACCATGGATGCAGCTCCAAAACTAGAGAATCTGAGGAAAATCCCCTCTGCGCGTCTCCCTCCCCCGGTCCTCTTTCAAGGTCCACCTACTTCCCATAATGGATCTAACATATCTCTCACACCTCCGGTGCCCCCTGTTTCTCCAGGTGGAGGGGTTCAGCGTCCTGCGCTACAACGAAATCGCTCCTCTCGGCATCAAGGCGGCCTTGAGACGCCAGGCTCTCTTTCGCCCTTTCTATCTCGTACACAGTCAAAAGGCGAAATAGATCGTTCGGACGCCATCTGGCAAGAAATGCAGAATGCCTTGTCAGAGGTTGAGTTGAGCGCGGTAGCTAGTGAACATGTTTTTGGCGAGAAGCACTCTGAGGCCCTTGAAGACCTGCGAACGAAACAGCTGAAGCTTGCACAAGCCTGGGCTAGAAGCGAAGCTGATGAGGTAGTTGATCCGAAGAATGCAGCTACCAAGAGTCAGTCAAGACCAAGGGTATCCTCTCGAGCCGCCAGTCCCACAGGAGAGCCAACTGCAACGGACGATGCCTCCCAGAGGAACCTAGATGAGGAAACAGAAAAGGACATTCTTCTGGCGCGCGAGAGGCGTGAAGCGAATGATCGCTATTTCGACCGGGTCAACAACGGTGTCTTGGATGTGGTAGCTAAGCTTGAGGAGGTTGCTCAAGCTATGCGCGCCGTGGAGAGGGAGAGCAGAGACATATGGAGTGATAATGAAAGCATAACCACGGAGACCGCATCAACAGCTAACACTGGATGAGACTGTCAGAAGCCTATGAGGATTGATCATCTGTGGACACCGTACAAGGCCTCTAGCCCTGTGGTTTGAAATGTATTACGTGCCATTTTGACTGACAGTGGACGTGTACATTCCATCAATTCCACCAATGCCCTGCATTGGCGGGGTTTACTACCGCTTACGAAGCAAATGGGGATTCTATCGTCCTGACAGTGTTGCTACCACTAAAAACCACTTGCAGTCTGCATGACCTGTGGCATTGTGAGAAAAGGGACATGGTTATTATTGACGTATAAAAATGCGACAGTGTCGTCATTCAATGCAGGGAATGGTAAGGTTGGACCGACAAGGAAAATATTAATACATGACAAACGCTAGTCAATGACAGACAAAGAAAGGGTATCTGGACATATTAGCTCGCCAACGTCGAGCAACTCCAATGAACATGTACTCAGCCAAATTGACTCTACTCCCTCTTTACAAGCCTCACCACAGTCTTCCACCCTTCCAGCGCCGTTTCTCGCATGTCTTCCCACCGACTTTCGTTTGCCTTTTTTGCCAACTTTTCCACTTCCTGGTTCCAGTGATGCTTCAGCAAGTCCTCCATAGTAGGCCGTGTTGGCTCTGTTGTTTTACTATCTGGTTGAGCGCTATCTTTCGGGGCTAGTCGGCGGTCGTAGGCGCCTATAGGCGATGATAACCAATTTAGAGCTTGAGTTTGTTGACGTATAGCATCACGTTGTTCCAGGCGAATAGACCGATGTACTTGAACGGTTAAATATAAGGCGGTTGTAGTTAAGGCAAATCCGCTGAACTATTTCTCATATCAACTGACAGTTCGGCACATGCTTTCGAGTTGGAGAGGGAGTTGTAACTTACAAATCCAGCGAAGAAGCCCATATCTGCTTCTTCGTTTTATGAAGTGACTGATTTCCAAAAGGATAGTCCAACACTTTCCGGCTGCTGCAAGATAGGTGGGGGAGGAAGCCCTTCCTCGGCGCCGGCCGAAAGAACAGCAGTCACGACTCGGAGATCCTGAATGAGCAAACTGGCGACTGAATGCTCGTCTATCAATGCAGGGAGATATGGCGAGTCAAAATAAATCCAAAATAAGAGTAAAATGTGTGATATTGAAAAGGATAGGCTCGTCTGCTTGTCTAGATGAAAGAAACAAATCTGCAAGTATGGGGAGTTTCTGTCGCGCGGATCGGGAATGCCATTCGAGCACTCCGATTGGCTGCCGCGGAGGAACGAATCTTTCCACCGTCCTGGAAGATGGTCGAGCATAACGGCTGTGAACTGCAACTTCATCTTAATATCGCCCAACTCTAATTTCGCCTTTCTCCCCTCTCACCTGTCCTTCAGCTTGCTGTAGTATCAGACTTACGACCTTTTCTACAGCACACATCTTCGTCATCCGCCAATTGTCACGGCAAAGAGAACCAAAAAACAACCGAATAAAAACACCTTCCGCATATACCTATCACAATGGCCGGTGGTGCAGCCAAGTATCGCCATCTTAGCCGCAAGTCCTCGCACAGACAGGCTCTTCTTCGCAACTTGGTCACCTCTCTTTTCAAACATGAGTCGATCACAACAACATGGCCCAAGGCCAAGGAGGCGCAACGGTTGGCCGAGAAGTTGATCACATTGGGCAAGAAGAACACAGAAGCGAGTCGGAGACAGGCTTTGTCGACTTTCTATGTATGTGGGAATTCCGATTCTTCGTACTTTCTAGAATTCCGCGTCGAAGGAATCCGCTTAGAGGACAGGATGAATGTTACATGACAACTTTCCCCTTCATCTTTGTGACTTATCTTCATGATGTCGGTTCTTCTTACAATTAGTACTAATCAGATTCCAGACTCCTCATGATCTCCTTCCTAAGCTCTTCGGACCCCTTCGTGAACGCTACGCCGAGCGTCCCGGTGGGTACACCCGAGTACTACGTGTCGAGCCCAAGAAAGACGATCAAGCACCTAGCGCCATCCTGGAACTCGTCGACGGACCCAAGGATATGCGATTCGCGATGACGGCACGCACCGTCGCCAGGCAACGGGCCCAGGGCCAGGATACGCTCAATGAACTGACACGGTTGAATGTACAGAAGGTAACGCGGTTCCGAAAAGACGGCATTGACGACTTGGAGCAGGAGATTAAGAAGCTGGAGCTTGACGGCCGGAAGGAAGAGAAGGCTAAGAAAGCCCAGGAGAAAGAAGACTCGAAGCAATAGATGCACATAAAATCAAACCGTTGAATTAGGGTAGGGGTTGTCAAAGGTTCGGCGAATGGGGCACTGGACCGCTGTGACCTGAGTCTGACTGGTGCTTCTGTATCTGTACATTTTTTTCCCTCAATAGTCTCATGTCTTTTTCGTTGGTCTTTATGATCGTGTAATTTTAGCTGTTGTTTTCTAGATACAGAGATGGGCTTCCGCTTATTCATAGACTGTCGTCGTGTATCCTGCAAGTAGATATGTACGTGATGTAGCCTGTATCAAGCTGTTACCATGAGGGATAGACTAAGAGTGAACTGTGTATATCCTCTGCTGATGACGGCTCCTGTTCTCACTGGCTTGGTTGCCTGATTATCGCCTGAGCACGAGCCTGACTGTCACGATCTGCCTCTGCATCAGTCATCACACTTGCAGAGAGCAAGTCACGTTTCTACTTCAAATCACCAAAGAGAATATGTGCATATCTCACGACGGATTATGCAGCAACGGCTTGTTCTGATAAAACTTATTCAGGGTTCATCTTTGCAACAGAGAGTCATGACAACGAGCGGTCTGTGCTTAGAGATGAACTTCCGAAAGCTCACGATGTCCTGCGACCTTTGGAATTCTCGTTGACCATCGTTATAATATCGAAATCTCGACGGACAAAACGCCTTACTGAGCCGCAGGTTTATATTAGATCTGATATATGTACTAAAAGGAACCTTTTACACGTGGTGTGTTCCATCCTGTGAATATTGTTTAATTTGCCCAGATAAACTAATAAGATTGGCTGAGAATTTGTCGCTGCTATTGAAAGCAGTATTGAATTCGAGGCTAAACCGAGATACACTTGGGACTGGCATCTGCATCTAGGTATGGAGTACTTAGGTACTTCCAATCGTTATCGGTAAAGTGGCGTACGGGATCCCAAGGTCAGGGCATATGATAATACCCACATCCACGAACTAGATTGACACTTCCCAGTCAAAGATATTGTGCTAACTGTCTTTCATCCATGCCTCTAAGCTACAGCCGTTCTGCAGCTCTGGGTCCCGCGGAATCCAGCGAGGGCTTGAAGACTGTAGGGACTGGGAAAAATACGACATTGACGGCTTGCTCACAGGTACAACAGCCGGGCCGAGGTGGCCTGATCTTTGTGGAGTCAACAACTTCTCTTATGGATTCGCATCTTCGAAGAGTTGTTTCATTATAGAGCATGGCGGCGAAATGAAATGCGTTGTTGGTGCCCTGGACCAATGAAAAGACATGCGCAGACTAGTAGAAGTCTTGGGCAGTCCACTGCTATTCCTCTTTGCTCCCGGTAGAGTATGTGCTCTATCGGCAAGTTATCCCAGATCCCAGGGGCTTGGAAAGGCACAGTACCCCATTGGACTCCACCAGCATGGCAGGTACAGCATGGAAGTCTGTGTAGAACATGGTTGGAATGATGTACTGCCAGGTACCCACTACTTTACCCCAGCCCTGACCCACTTGGTGCATCGACCGAAATACGATGCCGATACGATGTTATTCACGCCTCCAATTGGCTCATGACTTTATATGAGTAAGCTGTCCTTGAGCCCTAATTGTCGTATAGAGCGTATACGATGTATACGATGATGGCTGTGGTCGTAAGGTATCTATGCAACGAAAATGAGCTTTTACTGCTATAAAGGTCTGTTGTTTTCTTGCTTCAGTGATCTGCTTCGATTCATACCACACAAAATTCTCAAGCACACCTCTTTTTCTACCGATTTTCGTTCTCTCCCTATTTAAGGCATTCGCTTCGTCAGAGTCCTTCTCCTACACAATATTGACTACTGACATCTCACAATGACTGTCGCCTTACATGAAGACCCCGACCTTGCATTGACCAAGGCCATGCACGGAAAGTCGGCAGAAGAGAAGAATGCCTTCTTCGCCATGCTCAAAAAGAACAATGCGGCCCATCGTGAGATCACAAACGAATATGTGCGGCGGTGGAGGACTGAAAAGGGTATCGACGGCACAACCGATGAGGCCCGAAAGGAGAGAACAACTGAGTACATGGGTGTGGTCAACAAGTGAGTAGCCTTTCTGCTGCGGTGCATCTCGCCAATGGTAGATAATTGTTTGCTAACTGATCGACTTGTATAGCTACTACGACCTTGCGACAGACTTTTATGAAGAAGCATGGGCACAGTCATTTCATTTCTGTCGATTTTCAGTCGGTGAATCGTTCCTCCAAGCTCTGGCGCGCCACGAGCATTACCTGGCATATAAATTGGGCATCAAGCGGGGGATGGAGGTTCTGGATGTTGGATGTGGTGTTGGGGGTCCGGCGCGAGAGATTGCTCGGTTCACTGGGTGCCAGGTGCTTGGAGTCAACAATAATGGATATCAGATCGCACGTGCAACACGGCATACAGAGAAGGCGGGTCTGCAGGAGCAGGTTTCCTTCTTTAAAGGTGATTTCATGGTGAGTATAATGGAGCCGTATTCATAATTATCATGACTGTTTGTCTCTCTGACTATCAATCTAGCACCTTGATTTCCCAGATAATACATTTGATGCGGTCTATGTCATCGAAGCCACAGTCCACGCCCCAAGCCTTCAGAAAGTGTATGAGCAGATCTTCCGTGTGCTTAAACCAGGTGGTCGCTTCGGTGTATATGAATGGGTCATGACGGATCGTTTCGATGAGTCTAATCCCAAGCATCGTGCTATTCGACTCGGGATTGAGCGCGGCAATGGCATCGTCAACATGCGTACTCAAAATGAGGCTGTCGAAGCTATTCAAGCAGCAGGTTTCGTTCTCGAACATGAAGAAGACCTAGCAACACGACCAGATCCTATTCCATGGTACTACCCTATTGCAGGGGAGCTGCGATACGCACGAGGCCTTTGGGATCTACTCACTGTTCTGCGCATGACGAAATTCGGCCGAGGAGCGATGGGTTACCTGCTATGGACGCTGGAAACTCTGCGACTGGCCCCATCTGGAACAGCCGAAACAGCCACCGAGCTCGCCAGTGGCGGTGATAGTCTTGTCGAAGGGGGTAGGCTTGGCCTTTTCACTCCTATGTATTTTATGATCGGGCGGAAACCGGATCTTTAAACTTGGGTCCCGGAGTCTAATACGGAGTTCATTGGTGTTGCATATGTTAAGAAAGTTAATTCGAAATAGCTGCCTGCCAATATCACTTTATTTCCATAATACTACTACTATCTGGCTGCACCAAAAGATTCACACGAGGCCGGGATATGCCTATCTGGTATAAGCACCAGGGATATAGGAAGGTTAGCAAACCCCGGAATTCTTTACCGGTTAGTACTAGTAAGATATTCTTACATATCTGGTTTCCCCATAGCACACGGAATGGTTCTTAGCTCCATGGCCTGAAAGTAGGCAGGTAATCTGTGCCTTATCAATCAGCAGTGACATCCCACAGACTATGACTAGTCTTAACCCTAACACTATGGCCTAGCTCAGGAATATCCTGCCACTACGGATATATCTAGTAGGTAAAATATGATATTAACTGATGCTCGGATAAGTTCGCCGTCTTCTACGCCTATCAAAACCTGCAAAAAAGATCAGATAAGAATAAAGAGGAAGGTTACATCCAAACTCTTTACCGTTTTCGGTCACGACGTAAGCACTCTGGAATGCAACATCCGGCATGTCCGACAGTGCCTTCTTTGCTTTTTCCCTTCCAAAGATATTTTCATGTCAGTCCACTTGACGTGAAAGACCTAGAACGATGGGGTAATTGGAAAAAAGCCATTTTTATAAAACAAAACATTGGCATTTTCGGTGTTTCCATCTGCTTAGTTTAGTTTATATACGCTTCTACTAACATATCTGCAGTTAATCTTCGCGAATATGACGGCTGAACCTAAAGAAATCCCACAGGGGGCTGCTGTGGAGGCAGGCCGAGACCAAAACTATGTGGCTATAGCCGATGATGAAGCTGAGGCGAAGCTCAATGGGCTCAGAGAAGCGCATGGTGTAATGACACCCACACCGTATTCACCATCCCCCGATGATGGAAAAGGCTAATTTTGGTGCCAATCGCTGTTTAGGCCACCTGGGATGGCCCAGATGATCCTCAAAACCCGTACAACTGGTCGCTGACCCGCAAAGTCTCTATTGCTATCGTCGTGTCCTGCGGTCAACTGGCCACTCTCATGTCGACCAGTATGATGGCTGCGGCATTGAACCAGATTGCAGAGGATGTGGGCTTGAGCATTTCTGTCACGCAGATCTGCTTCTCAATCTTTCTTCTTGGCTTGGCATTTGGGCCCTTCCTCGTCGCTGCCTTGTCCGAGATATATGGCCGGAAGTTTGTCTGGTTGATTTCGAATGCCTGGTACATTCTTTGGAACTCCCTCTGTCCAGTTGGAAACAACGCAGGACTCATGATGACCGGGCGGTTCCTTGCAGGCTGTGGAGCGAGTGCCGGTGTCACGGTGAGTGACCGCTTGTAAAGACTGTCCGTGAGACATGATAGCTGACAAGGACACAGCTCACAGCACCTATCATGGCGGACCTGTTCCATGCCAAAGACCGTGGAAAGTCCCTGGCACTGGCCACCCTTATCCCCTATCTCGGACCAGCAATAGGGCCCATAATGGGCGGTCTAGCCTCACAACACATCCACTGGCACTGGCTCTTCTGGATCCTGTCCTCATTCGAGGCACTCGTCACCGTCATTGGCGCAGTCATCATGAAAGAATCATACACACCAGCCCTCCTGCGCCGCAAGGCAAAAGCACAGAACCCAAACCTCTACCCTGCGAACAGCCCCCTGACGCAGCAATTCTACATCGACCTCCTCACCCAACTCCGAAAGAACATCTACCGTCCCCTCCGCCTCCTCATAACCCGCCCCATCATCCAGCTCCTGGCCATAGTCTACGGCCTCGACTTCGGCATCTACGTCCTCATGCTCTCCACCTACGCCAACCTCTGGATCGACCGCTACCACCAGTCCGAAACAATCTCGAGCCTAAACTATCTCGCCATCGCCATTGGTACCACAATCGGCGCCCAAGCCGGCGGCCACCTCATGGACTACATCTTCCGCCGCATGCGCGATCGTCCCGGCGCAATCGTCACCCCCGAATTTCGCGTCCCTTACATGATGCCCAGCGTCCTACTCATCCCCATCGGCCTCATCTGGTACGGCTGGTCGGCCGAGAAGCACATCTCGTGGGTCGTCGTCGATATCGGCGCGGCTATTTTCACCGCCGGCTGCTTCATGGTCAGTCAGGGCATGCTGGCCTATCTGCTGGATGAGTTTGCCCATGCGGCGTCTGCTAATGCGGCTACGAGGATGTTGTCGAATATTCTCGGCTTTGCGTTCCCTATCTTTGCGCCCAGCTTGTATGATCGCTTGGGGTTTGGGTGGGGGAATACTTTGCTTGCTTTTCTGTATTTGGGGCTGGGGGTGCCGATTCCTTTGGTGCTTTGGTTTTGGGGCCCGAAGATTAGGGCTATCGGGAAGGAGGTTTAGTTGGGGGTCTTTTGGGGTGGGGGGGGGGGGGGGTTAGAACTTCGTTGTATGTATGATGTGTGTTGGTTTCTGGTAGTGAGTGTTTGAGGTTTAATGAGACTAGTGCTTTATAAAATGTTGATGATTTTTTATGAACAGTGATCCTATCTGGTTCTCCATGTATGGAGTATACACCGTATAATTCTGGGGCCCTAGAGGCAGAGCTGGCATATCTACGTTTGAGATCCCTTGAATTCTTTGCTCTGATCGAGATACGGGCATATAGGACGTGAATGGCATACAGGGAATTGTTGACTGCTTAAATAGACTCTATTTGAGAGCCTCTACTGCTGGGCTAGAACTAATAGAGGGAGTGAAAAGAAAGAGCACAGAACACAGCGAATCAACTTCGATCATGTTCTCCGTAAGAGTGTACTCAGTCGGATCCCTCCAAGTAGCTGAGTTATCCGGACTAAGCCTTGTTTCCTGCACCTATGGTCGTATGTGCTGGATGATACTAGCTCTTGGGTTCATATGGAGTATACCGATATGTACAGCTGGCATAGTCTAGAAAAAGTCGGTCAGATTCTAGCAAGTCTTTTTGAGCTGGTATCTTGAAATCTATAGATACATGCATATATCATCATAACATCGTGAAATAGTCTATGGCTTTTCTAGCAAAACATGCCGTCTATGGTGATGCATAGTGTTGAGCCAGCTGTGGGATCGAGGGTCCCCAGGAAGACCTGACGGGATTGCGTGAAGAGTCATTTAGTATCTTCTCATGACACGTTGTGCAAGCTGATAGGCCCTTCAAAAGGGGTCCTGGTGAAGGATTTCTAAGCCAACCAGCCCTGAATTGAGTTGCCTAGACCAGCAGCGTCAAATCTGAGGTGAATGCAAGGCCGCATTACAGTAAGCTGTAGGCTTAAGTATTTCATTAAACCTCGATCACGACTCGTTCTTTTCACCGTTCTCTGTAACAGCCTCTTCACGCTTTTCGAAGTGGCCCTGGATCCAGCAACGGTACATCTTCAGTTTCTTCTGGCGATTGACTACCAACCGCCGGTCATATGCCAGCGCGTGTATTTTAAAGGAACCGTCATTCTTGCCGATAACAGGCTTTTCGCCTTCGGATTTCTCGGGGAGACCCTTCTCGGGGGTCCACCGACCCCACATTTCTTCGAGCTCGTCTCTATCAAAGAAGAACACACGAGTGCCATCTCCACGGACGTAGAAGTTCTCATCCAAATACCGACCCTTCTTGAATCGAACCTGAGCCAAGTCTCCCCGCCCGTAGTCACGGAACAAGACCTTACCACCAGGCTTCAGGACCCGGTAGATATTGCGAAGGGCCTTTTCCCACTGGTTCGGGTTGAGGGCGGAGAAAATGAAGATCAAAACCACGACGTCGACGGAACCCTCCGTCAGTCCTGGAGGAAGGGAGTCATTGTTCTCATCGGGTTCGGCAGCGACATCCCAAACGTCGGCAGTGATGTGCTTCGGGTTATAGTGCTCGCTTTCCCGTATAACTTTGACGGCGTATTTTGAAAAGTCGCACGCATGAACCATGAGTTCTTCGTTCGCATTGTTGTTGATCAACGGAAATGCCGTGTTTCCTGCGCCCGCGCCAACCTCCAGAACGACCTTCTTTCCTGCATCGGGCCGGGTGACCTCTTCTAAGATGGGAAACTCCTGCTGCAGCCACTTGCGATCCTTGAAGAAGTTCGCTGTGTTATTCTTATAGAACAAGTTCCACCATTTGGCGGGGTCATTGTTGAAACGGAATTTGTCAAAGTCTGATGCGGGCGACTCGCGCTGTTTGGCGTATTGAACTTCTGCGAAGGCTAAGAACTCGTCATCCGGTTCGACGTGATCCCAGGCATTGAACTCGAAGACGTCGTCGCCTTGTTCTAGGTAGCGAGAACCGAATTGAAAGGGATCACTGCGTTTGAGATTGTTGGAGGGGTCGTGGGAACGATGCGGGGCAACCATAGGAGGTTGAACCTGTTGGGTGACTTTTATAATGTCATCGTAGGAGTGAGCGTTTTCCGGAGCCATCTTCCTAGAAACCGAAAAGAACGTTATGCGGCTCAACAAAGGTACGCAAGATAAACCGCAATCAATGGAGGGGAAAGAAATCTTGTTGCGGAGAAAAAGAAAAAAGATCTGGTGGGGAAAAGAAAAAAAAAATACCCGTTCCTGCCTCAGGCGTCAACCGTATCTGTGGATCCCCAAAACGCTATCTTTCACGCAGCCAATCAAAAATGTGGATGCCTGAGAGGATCGGCGACAAGCCTGAGGTCTCACTGCCTTAGGCATTCACCAATACGAATGTCCCCCATTCTATTTCCACTTTCCATTTGAATGTCACTTCGCTTTCTCCTCACTTCCACTCATTCCTGCATACTGTGTCCTTGTCTGCCCATTTCGCTCCCGCCAGTGCATAAATTAGCATCATCACCCCACGGGAACACTCTGCGGGTGCCGACCGTCATGTTGGACATGCACTGAGCACAATTCATCTTTGCTCCACTCTTATCAGGTCGACCGCATTGACCATCGGTACATCGTATACAGATCCTCCATTAGTCATAAAGACCTATTTCTCGATTTCACTCCTTTCGTTGGAGTCATTAGATATTATCCTTCACATACTCAAATCTCAGACCTTCTCTTGAATTATTTCCCGAGTCACCATGTCTATTTTCAACATCCTGTGTGGTTGCGTGACCCGCAGTTCCCCACTGTCATCTCAACCGCCGCCTCAGCCTCGTCATCAACCACCCCAAAATAGAGACAATGGCACCACCACTTATAATAACGTCAACAATAGTCCCCCGGAGATAGATGATGAAGATGGCTACAGCCCTGTCGTCCCATTACCAAGATATACCCCACGGCCCGTGAGCATTCGGGAGAAAACCCTAGAAGCACACATGCAGGATCCACCCGTCTCATCCTCTGACTACGCCAGCAACTCTACATACTTCCAAGATGAGAAGGATCGTCTCGCCTTTGAAATGAGCTCTAATCGGAACCACAACCCCGAGGACCTGACCTCAGAGGCCTCGTCCGCTATCTCTTTCCCCAGTAGTTACGGGAATACCTCTACGGCAACGAGGGACACGCCGCCGCCGCCGTATTCGTCTCGCGGTGTCTCTCCTGCACCGTCGAGGTCTATGTCGGTGTCTTCGTCTGGGTATCCACTGCCGCCGCAGCAGGTAGCTATGATGCAGATTGCGCAGCCGCGACCTGTATTCCAAAGGCGGGACAATTTGGTCCGGAATGTGTTGTCGCGAAGCAGTTTCGATGAACAGCATGAGTCCGGGAGACCGCGGAGGTTCTCTTGGGAGAGTCAATAACTGGCCCTCATAGTTTTGTCATTTGAGATATCAGGGCATCGCTTGGGGAGCTTTGTCTTGTCTTTTCTCTTACCTCTTCCTACTCTATCCACGCTGCTTCTTCACCCTGCCTCTTCCCCCACAGTCTTTTTATTTTCTCTTTTTCCTTTATTGCCTCGATACTATTTTTTGGCCACTAGAGCACTGCATATTTATACGACTAATGATGGACCTTGGGAGGACTTTCTATCTATGCATGGATATGGGTAATCGGCGTTATAGGAACTATTGTTCGGCTTGATCTTCGTCATATAATGAGACTACACAGGACATAATACATATACATATATACTTATTTAAAGCCAAGCGACTTTTTAAATGTGAGATACTACACTTTATTAAAACGCTCGAGTAAACAAACCAGCGCGTGAAACACCAACCAGCTCAGTCATAACAAGCGAACTATAAGACCACCAAATCATATTGACTCGCTATCCGCTCCTGCACATGCTTGAGTAAATACCCACAAACCTGCGCCGGAAACTCCAGCAAACTGAGAATGCGTGGATCGTCGCTCTCCTCCAGGTACATGCAAATTGCCACGCACTCGGACTTGGCTCGCGTGTCCATCCACCAGACATCAAAATCTACTATGAGGGCCAGCCACCAGCTGAGAATAATCAACGCAGGCGGATCCTTCTTCAGTAACTGGTCGTAGTACTCCGGTAGCAGTCGGCCCATGTAATTTGTATAGTGGGTGAAGGTCTTCATGCTTCGCTCGAGGGAGAGCAATGGGGTTAACATTCGCAGAGGCCAGTGGTAGGGATTTGTTTCCTCCGTCGTGGTATCGTCTATGCCGCAGATGTCGGCCAGTTCCGGATGTAGGTCGACGCGTCCGGGACGATGGTCGTCGTAAAGGGGGTTACCCTCGCGAGATCGTCTGAAGACATCCCACCACATGCTTTGGGTCATCCAGGGGACCGTTAACTGGAGGAGGTGGCGCAGACCGCTTTGGAGCATCAGCCAGTTTAGGGATTCGGGGTCGTCGGAGAAGACGAAGGAGCTGCGGGGGTTGTATTCTTCAAGACTGAAGGAGTGGATGGTCATTAGGAGACAGGCCGAGTAGAGGGGGTCCATGTTGTGTGGGCCGACGGCAGTGGAGATCTCCTCGGAGTACTGCTTGATGGCCTTTTGCCAGTGGTATGCCTCGACCATCGTGTATGTGTTGTCTTCGGGGTAGATGCGACGGAGATGGGATGTTGCTGCGCCGATGATGGCGTGCATGAGGAACGGTGACTGGAGACCAGTTAGGTTTTCGATGGCCTGCTGAATGGGGATATGGCAGGAATACTAACATCGAACGCCAGCTGTATCATTTTACCCCTCATCATGTTCTGACTACGCTCGGAGCTGACGGTAGGGGTCGTGGCTTCATGGAAATGGTGTAACGCTCGAATATTAGAAGACAGACGACCATTTCTAGACTTCATCTGTAGCAGCTCGTCTATCTTGGACGAGACTGCAAGCAGCGACATTGTATATGCCGCTGATTCCTGCCCAGTCAAACCGGGGACTTTGTCGATAAAGTAAGATATAACACCCTTGCTGCGCGCAGAGTTAACTTGACCAGCGTCATAACTGCAGTCAACTCCATGCTTTTGGCATCGCAGACAATGGGGCTTAGTTTCGTCACACTGGGATCCTTCAGCCCTATATTCCTCCGAATACAAGGAGGATCATATAAAAGTGGCGAGTACCTTAACTCTTCGTTGCTTGCATTTCACACATCCAGCGCGTGACTTCCGATGTGCTCGACGGGCATGATAGACCTTCCCGTTACCATCTTCTGCGCCCGATGTTTGGTACAAAGGCACACGAAAGAGGCTCTTCCGGCCCTGTAAGGTGCCCGGGAGTGTTATGGGGTGGATGCTGTGGGACTGGCCTTTCTCAGTCTGCGGAGACTCGTCTGCAATCACTGGCATCGCTTTTTATAACCGACTTTCCGTCAACAGCTTTATAATAGACATGTATGGAAAGGCAGGGGTCGAATATTAAGACTTATTCCTCCTTTTCTCATCATAAATGAGAACGAATGATCAGCCTTTCGGTGGATGTGAGAGGAATACGAGGACTCAGCCCCGTCGTCAGTGTTCCCTCCATCATGGAACATTTGTTTGAAGCTTTCCACACCCTCATTGGCGTGAGACACACCGCCTTGAGCCACAAAAAGAAAGAACATGTTACTTGTAATCGTTGATACTCCGTCTGATATGGCACTTCTGGACCATCGATCTGGACGGGGTATTTTTGTGGATACTGAAGTTGACCAACTGAACGGATGATCAACCGACACGGGTGGGACTTGACCATCTCCCGAGGAGATCCAATGACTTCCAACTATTGAAAGTTCCAAGTCGAACGCCTTATACCACTCATGCACAATGAATTCTTAAATCGCAAATTGTTCCTTGTAGGCATCGACTGTTCTGTCTCAGGGTCTTGGCGAACCGACCGCTGCAACTTCAAGTATTGGGAGATGCATGGTTGTTAAGCATGAAAAGTCACGAAATGGATGCCATGGGGATATGTGCATTATCTCTGGTGTTCACACGGTAGTTGGGGCTATAAATAAGGGTTTTCGCATGGACCATGTCACATACTACTATAGCATAAAGCATTGCCGACTGTCACGTATACACGCCGCTATTCCTAACCGGGTAGCTCTCGTATTCGGCCTTCAGGATCAACCATCTTGATGTATCCTCGGAATGTTTACTTAATAGCATAGCCCGTGCGCATTGAACAAATCAAAATATTGAATACTAATGTCGTTTTCGAAAAAAGACTAATGCTCATTACTTTCATACACATCTAGAACGACCCATCAGCTAACCAATCTGCGCATTGGAGAAGTCCATTTCTGTACCAAAATGTCAGTAAACCTTACGGGGCCCGAGGCAAGAAAGATAAGTGTCTGAACATACCCGGATGTTCCGCCTGGAACTTCTTCAGAAGATCCATCTTGCGCTGCTCATCGCTGCTCATGCCGCCGATTTCCTTCTGTCGCTGATCGTACATCATCTTCTCAACCATAGCCCTGGTCTCCCCGTCCAAATCACTCAACTTCGATGACTCGGGCGTGATCTTACTGACATCGATCTTGGGCGCAGAAGTCACCACATGCGGCCACCACTCGACCTTATTAACCTTGTCCAGATGAACCGCCACTTCCTTTCCAGGCGGTTGCGATGTCGTCTCCAGTGTCCATGAGCACTCGTCAAGTATAACCGGGTGAGGAAGGTCTCCCTGTGAAACTCTTAGCTATCCCATCCTCACTGCCCAACGGTATCACCGGTTAGGGCGTGGCCTACCTCGATAATAGGCTCCTGCCCCTTAACCGCCACCTTGATCTTAGTCTTGGTCAAAACCACATCCAGATCCCTTCCCCTAAGATTTCCCGGTACGGGAATTATCACGTCCACGTCTTTGATTGTCTGCGTCCACTTGTATGGCAGCTTCGCTTGCTCGGCGTCTTCCTTCGCCTTGCGCTCCTTCTCCTCGCGCTCGCGGTCGGCCAATTCGGCGGGGTTGGGCTCGCGTTCGGCCTCGGCAGAAGACATGGTTGGGTTTGGAATTTAGGCGCTTTCTCGAACAGTTTGCGGTAAGTTGGCCGATGCTAGTGGTTCTTAGTACCTGACTTGTTGCGGAGTGGGATGGTGGGGTAATGAAATGGGTGGGTTGTGGAAAGTATAGGTGTACGTTTGGAATACCTTGACAGGAGGTTTGATAAAGGGCTTTAAATTTGTGAGTTTTCCGTGAACCGGCTAGAGGATGTGAAAGGACAGGAAAGAGATTCAAAGTGTTCGTTGTAATTGTTTTGGGCTTTTGCTCTCTCTGTTGGCGGGGCCGTTCCGCATGGAGCTGGAGCTTACTAGCCTGTTTCGGGTGCTTTGCTATTGTGGATGCTTCAATGCTGTCATTCCGCGAATTATGATGAACAGTGCGTATTTTTTTTTTTTTTTTTTTTAATTATTAATATAAGAAATTTAATAGTATCATGTAATTCGACTGGGCTGGCTTGTCTATAGTAGCAAGCATCCCGATCTTCATAGGGTATTCGTAGTTAACCTGATATGCACTATGTGATCAACCGGTAAGAAAAGAAAGCATTACTATATATGCTCGTGAACAGGAAGATAAAGTGACATGATAGCGAAAAGAATCATGACTCGTATCATCACTCCATATCTCCCCCTGAAGGCTAGGGCAGTCAACACACCTGGGGGACCACTCACTTAACCTCGGAAAGGAGAGAAATGCAAAAAAGCGGCGAATGTGCATAGATTCACGCAGTCAGCTCCGCACTTACTCTATGCTATCGACCACGTCCTCCTCAGTGATAGGTCCCATCCAGGGTGAGCCGTCGAAGATGCGAACATGCTGCGGAGATTGAGCATTTTGGTGAACATCTTCCATTTGCTCAACAGATATTCTTGGCTCCTCGACGGAGTTGAAGAACTGACCCGCAAATTCCGCAACTTCGTTTGCCATCTTAGTCTCCAAAATTCCCTCCAGCATCTGCATATCTTCTTTCCACTTTTGTTCTCTTCGTGCTTTTTCCTCTTCTAGCCGACGGCAGGTTCCGTCTCGCTCTCGAAGTTTGAGGCAGTTCGGGCATAAATAGTTTACCTCGCAGTATGAGCAGTTACATGGAGGATTTGCCTCAACGCAGTCCTGACATACGTGGACCGAGCAGCTCGAGCACTCACGTAGGACACTACCACACCTCTGTCGTTGATCGCCGACAGCTCGATACTGCGGGCAGAAGAACGATTGGCAACCCTGCCACTTGGCCGCATCTGACTGTGATTCACAACCAACGGAGGAACGTGACGAAGAGCGAGACCGGTTCGAGTTCGAAACCGAGACACTTCTGAGTCGGCGGTGCACAAGAGAGATGGGTCCTGGCGGGTCGTCAGCGCCCTGCAAAGTGTGACTACCAACATCCGGGACACCATCTGCAGGGTTATCCTCGGTGAAACTGCTTGCAGTAGAGTCGACTGCCCGGTGAGTCCTGTACGGCAATGCAAATTCGGTTGAAGAGCTTATTAACGGAACATGCGGCGAAGCATAAGCACTGGTGGTCTGTTGAGCGCTTGCTCCGGGCCGATTTTGGATAGCCATCTTTTCTAGAGTAAGGTCGCGGTATCCACAAATGCGTAAGCGGAGACCGCGTAGGTCATGTTCAATGCATAATGGCTTCGAGCAACTCTTACAGTGTACCTTCCACTGGGGAGTGTCATAACATTCCTGGCATAGATTTCGAGGACAAGCCGTGGGTTCTCGGTCTGGAGGCCCCAGCAACCATTTCATCATAGCTATATGTCCCGTTTCGAGAGTGTAGTCGGGTTTCCGTGGATCACCGTAGGCATACTTGGGGAAAGTCTTACTCCACTCTTGCGCCGAGTATTCCAGGTCTTCCCAGCCCTGCCCACGGGGCAGAGGCGCCGCTCGCACCTGGTCTACATCCCGGTTAGGAGTCCCAATGCTGATACCGCCCCCGCCGGAAAAGATAGGTTCTGTACAACACCAGTGAAATTTCAAGACAGGATGAGGAGCTGTAGTGCTATTATGATCCAAGGTATCGCTTTCAGAAGTACTTGCTAGGGGGTCCAGCATGAGGCAGGGGGATGTGGTAGCGCCTGGCGCCCACCAGAAAGGTTGCTTAGTCTCCCCCGAGAGCGATGAGGGGCGTCGAGGACGTACGTAAGGCCGATCATAAGCACAACTTGCACAGAGCGTCTTACGACATCCAACACAGTGCATTAGAACACTACACTGTTCGCATCTTTCCGGAATCTCCTCGTAGCAGTTGTCGCAGCGGATATTTTCCACGAACCGCTTATGGCTCCAACGTGAATGGGCCGGTGACATTTTACCCTCCCCAAGGTCCCTGCCTTCTCCTGTCCCTAGGGATTCACCATAGCAGCCGGTCTCCTCGTGTTCCCACAGCTTACCGTCTCTTTTGGGTGGACGGCTGCTGTGATCTACAGGGCCGATCCAATTCTTCGACCGCCATAACCGATCGAAAACCACCCAGACCTCCGCAGAGCCTTGCGGGACTCGCATGGAGACGTAGCCTCTCCTCCTATAGCATCGTCCGGCAGGAGTCGAACACCACGCGGTATCGGTCCAAATCCCAAGTTTATGGCAGAGATTGACTAATTCATGGGTTGGTTCTGAGTCTGAATCCTTCCGAGTTAACGAAGAAGAGAGGTAGGGTCGTCGTCGGTGATGTCGGCATCGATAGGTATACAGACTTTTCAGCGCAAGACGCTTGGTAGATGAAGAGCTACCGATGCTTTTTTCCATATCCACGTCGTATTGGAGCCCAAACATTGTCAGATACGGAATGATATGGTATTTGAGAGAGACATTTTTACATCCCCGGACAGAGAGATGTTCTAGTGTTTCACGCCGTGAATACAAGACAGTCGATATTAGAATCTGCCCAGACACCGCCGTATTATCCAACTCTAGACTCCTTAAACACGGGCTGAACGGAACCACCACATTCATCAACAACTGGTCAAGGGCATATGGCCGAGATTGTCGTGGTACCACCACTGGCTCCAGAGTCCCTGGTATGACAACCCTGAGGGGTGAAGAGGTGCCTGAAGGGAAGAATAGACGAAACGACAAGTGCTTCCATGCCGTGGGATAGGATCTAAGAAAGGACCGGAGGTAGCGGGAAGTGTGGTAAAGTTTCAGAATGGAGTCGGTCGGGAGTTGAAGTAGCAGGGATTCGAGGAGAGGAGCATGAGTTGTAACGACTCGTTCGAAGGTTGAGAGAGAGCGTTGGGCGGGGATGAGCGACTGTTCCAAGGCGGAGTCAACCAGCACCTGCTGGTGGTGACCGGCGCTATCGGCCATGCTTTCAGGTGCCTGATCCTCCTATGGACTGGCGGTCAGATCGTGGGCGAGAGATGTAGCAGCGTAGTTTATTGCCCTTGTCTCTTCGTCTGTTGGTCACGCTGTTGCTATTGCTGCCGCTGAAGGTCAAAGTGACGCGAGGTCGCGAACACAGCGGAGATTGCGGAAGATGCAGCGCATCATAAGGAGAAAAGAAGGAAGGCGACACAGCGCAAGGAGGGCGGTATAGATTCAGGAGTTGGACATCATGCGAGGCCATCAAAGGGAGAATAAGATACGGTAATACTGGCTGATGGGTGGCTTTGACAACTCACAATTGGGACAAGAACCAACGGCCTTACGGCCGGCAACTGCCCGCTTGCATCATGTGATGGGTCGACTTAAAAAAGACTCTTCACATTTTTGCGACCTTCCCTATTCGAGCCGTGAAGATAGTACTTCAATTATTTAATAAATAATATAGAGACCCTGAACCTCGATAGGGTTGAATACTATTTGGTCGATCTATGGAGGAATAACCCTTTTTCTTTCCATTTTCAGATGTTGACCTTCACAAACATAGGGTATATATTATAGTTTCGTCAATCCAATGGATCTCCCGGGAAGTTTAGTGCCGGTCTATTGAATCGCCCACTGTATATCCCCTTGCAATGCCCTTGCGTCCTTCCACCACCAGCGTATCGTCTGCGGCGTCCTCTTCATACTGAATATCGAAATCACTTCCCAGCCCCTTCCACGTCCGTTGCGATCGAAGAAATTCGGCCCCTGGGGAGAAGGTCCCGCCGATCATAGCCAAATCCCCTTTGGCCCGTTTGGCTAGCGCTCGAGCAGCAGAGGGTCCGCTGGCTGCTGACACTGCATCCTCCGCTGATGCTGAAACGCGGGGTGCGGGATTCCGCATCGGCCTTGAGTGCGAGACATAGCGACCGGTGCGCAAATCGAACTCAGGTGGTGCAGATTCGGAGTCGGACGTATTCTCTTCCTCATCGGCGGTCACACCATCCGACAATGGAGTCTCATCCTCGTCCACGTCCTTGGTTTCGTGGTTAGGTTGATTAAGAACGCTCTGGAAGTCACTCTGCCAGGCTCCGGTCCAGACGCGCTCGGCATCCCCCTTGAGAGCAAGCTCCAGCTCAAATGGGGTGATCACTGGCTTCCAAAAATCTTTGCTGTCAACTAGGGAACTCTCCCAGCAACCGATGACCACCCAACCATCAATTTCACTGAAATTAGCCACCTTGGCTGCGTTCAACTTCCCCACCACAAACATATAGCTCTTCTTGCCAGCTTCCGCGATTTTTTGCTTCACGTGTTCTACAATATGTAGATAATTCTTCACGCTGAGCGTATTGACTAAAATTCCGAAGATTGGTGCAGTGCTGAGACGGGTCAAGGTGGCATATCGACGCCGCAAAGCGATCGCAGTCGATGCCGGCAAAGGCTTGACGTTTTCGTTTTGTGGGTCATCCGTGGGATATATATGGATGGAAGCAACGCGGGATGCCAGCGTCATGAGGAGCGCCGTAGGAGGGTCTGAAATGTGGAAAAGCTGCCATTCGGATAATGAATCAGGAGTCTCGCGAACCGAGTCCGGCACTGTTCGATTGGGGATCGCAGACGACGGGTTGTGGACCAAATCAGTAGCAAACAAGTCGGTGTAACCTTCATTCACAAGTCGTGAGTACACCGCAGGGATATGGTCGGTGTATGTCACATCAGCTGCGAGGATGACCTTTGTGGTAGGATCAGGGTAGGTCTCTTTGAAAGCGCGAACGACGGGGTCGATGGGAAGAGGTTTATGTGTGAAAATGTAGATCACCGGTAGCCTAGACGTTGGAGATAGGCATGAGCGGCCATAGTGTACGACGACATCTGCATTGACGTGCTCCGCGGCCACCTCGTCAACGCAGCAAGTCCCATAGGACGTATCGGCTAGGATATATAATTTTGGCGATGTCTCCGTAGTATCCGTCACATTGAGCTGAGAGACCGAATGGGATAGGCCATCCGAGTCTGCAGTACCACTCGCTCCGTCATTCTGCGTCTGAGAAACATTGCTGTCTGTAGCGTTGCGTTTGGCCAAACCGCGACTAAGCAATTGAAACACCCGTGGTGCATCCGGAAGCATATCATCGGGAAACTGAAGAGCAATTCGCTTATACCGGGCCTCTCGGATCTCCTTCAATGTGCGATCAATATCATAAGTGATTGATAGCTCCTCATCCGACAACGCGCGTGGTGCCTCTTGTGTAGTAACCGGTTCGGTGGCCTCAAGAATCCGATCATCGGGGGTTGACAGCACGGGGGCTGCTGCCATTTCGGTAGCCATCTCGAAAAAGTTGATGATATCAGTAATATAACGGATTACAATGGCAAACAATGTTGACCTAGGGGAGATCGTAGAAATAGCGGGAGTTGAGATTGTTGAGGATTTTTTTTTTTCGGTGATTTTGGGAGAACAGAAAACACCCCCACTTCACCCCGCCGTTAAATTCGAACAAGAGCCAATGGCGCCGATACCAATTACTGATGATGGTATACATGAAATACGATGCCTTCTCCCTCTAATTCTCTACTTTTTTTTTTCATCCAGAGTATCTCTGTCCTAGTGGAAGGGTCAATCGATTAAGTGCAATGTGATATTTTACCATTGTTAGAAATGTATAATTTTTATTATGTAGGTAGACATAATCGCCGAACTATCAAATACGCACGAAAGGGTAAACGTGCTGCATAGAAGGCTGCCTAACCTACAAATCCGCCCGTGCTGGTTCCCCAGCCCAAACACGTCGAATCAATTCACGGATTGGCGCGCGCTCGATCTCCCGAGGGTTCCAGTAGGGGTTGCTAACAGCAATATCAGCTGCCTTGTCGATATCTTCCTCCCTCATGCCAAAGTCCTTAAGACCTCGCTTGACTTGCAATTTAGACAGCAAGACATTCAGGCCCTGGATAGCATCTCCATTGCTATCGGGAAGTGCTTCAGCCAGCTTCTTCATTGCCTCTGGAATCTTCGGCGCATTGTAAGAGATTGCATGGGGCAACACTGCTGTATGTGTCTCTGCATGGGGCAAATTGAAACTGCCACCTAACGTATGGCATAGTTTATGGTGGATAGACATACCCACACTACCAAGACAGGTCCCGCAGAGCCAAGCTCCATACAGAGCTGACGCCCGGGCAGATTGGGATGTGGGGTTCTCGACAATCTCAGGAAGGGCTGATGCTAGTGCGCGGGTACCCTCGGCGGCCATCAAGTTGATGACCGGGTTAGTGTTACGGGCATAGAGTGCTTCGACTAGTCGTATGATAACCGTTGAGCTTTCGAGATCATATAATGGTCAGAACAGTAGCAGGTTCGTGAGGACTCACCGGCATGAGCAATAGCATTCACACCACTGGTAGCACTCATTGCTGGTGGCAGCGTCATAGTAAGGTCGACATCGTAAATGACAGTCCCAGGGAGGATTTTAGGATCTGAACGTGTCTTCTTCAAACCATCGGCCGTCTCACCCAAGATAGGGGTCATTTCACTTCCCGCGTAGGTGGTTGGAATGCAAATATGAGGCATACCCGTACGGATGCTGATGGCTTTCCCCAACCCGATGGTGCTTCCACCGCCGATAGAGATGACCAAATCAGCATTCTGAGACTTCGTATACTCGAGAGCCTGGTCTGTAATGTGTGTAGGAGTGTGCATCGTAGCCTGAGTAAAGATACCGGCTACCTTGCCCTTGAGGACGTCCTTGACCATCTCCGCTTGGCTGAGCTGCTGTGGTGTCGACAACACCAGCGGAGCCTTCAGGTTGAGTCTGGAGATCTCATCGGGGAGTTTCTGGAGAGTACCACTGCCGAAGACGACTCGTCCAGGATTCGCGTTATATTCGAATGCATCCATCTTAAGAGCTCGGTCTATCTTTGTGTGACGTTAGAAGAAGAAGATAGGAAATCACAGCGGGACAATCAAAGGGAAACAAGTTGATTTATATCTAGTTAGTGCTATGACGGTTGACCGATATAAGTACCGAGATCCAATGGGTTAGAGGAAGCTTTGATCATCATGAATAATCTCTCTGCACCCCACACCCCACCAGTAGTAGGGGACGGTCCTGCAAACAACCGTCAGGCAAATGCCTCTGCCGTGGGTCCTCTTCGCGGGGTTCCTGATTTCTCGGCAGCTGCTGCTCTGATCTCTTCCGGGAAGGCCGATTTATAAGGGAGAAGGACGGCGGAGTTCCTCACCTCGGAAATCCCCCGGTCCGTAACAAAATTGACCAACGTCACATGGTTAAGAGGGCTAATTTGTTCCTCGACCCAACGGATCGATGGAATTGACGTCAGGTTCAATCATGTAGAGAATACTTGCCCATATTGACATATAAAGCATTGGGTAAACCGACTTAAGTTACATAGTACTATAAGATGCAAGTGTTCCGCCCTTACATCTCACCAAATCTAAATGGTTTCTTCGCATAGAAAACTCCCCCACGCTATGCATCCCTGCCGTGCAGTCCGTTCCTCGCATTGATTTCCTGCAAGCCAGTTCCCTTCGTGCAGGAATGAGTAGTAGCAGTAAGAACGACAGGATCAATCAAGATCATAGAACGCCATTACATGTTGGCCGCCGCTGCGATCCTTGCCTTTGCCCTTCTTCCGTTGTCTCTTCGCTTCGTCGGCCCGCCGACGTTCTCCATCACTATCGTCCGAGTCATCATCATTGTCGTCGTCGCTGTCTTCATCACTATCTTCAAGCATGTGCTTTTCACCAGCGATAGCGCCATTTGCCCCAGATCCGACTGCTTCATGCCAAACCTTGACCACCTGTCCACCACCACTGACCATACGTCCTTCTACATCAAATCCTAGACCGACAACGCCCTCCGTTTCATCGTGCATGACCTCTGACACAACTTTGTTGGGGCCAATCCTGACGAACTTAACACCGCCACTTCCGAGACCAACCGCGACCATCTTGCCCTTTCCGAGCTCATCAGGAACCATCGTGAGGGTTTCGAGAGACTCTCCTTCACCGCCGTTCCGCTGAACGTAGATGCGTTCGTCTTGATCATCCCATGCACCCTTTTCCCAAAGGGTAAGGACCCCACCGGAGCCACCCACAAGCACTTTCTCGCCGCGGCTTGTCCCGGTAGTGGCCAAGCCACCGACATACACGGAGCTGACCAATTCTTCTTCCTGGTCCTCACTGCGCACCATCACCCCTCGTCGTAAATCCGTCACGGCCAATGTAGTACCCCCAGTTGATACCCATTGCTTGCTAAATCCAGAGGTACTTGTATCCGATGCAGGCAATGGGGTGATAGACGAGATGTAATCATCGTGAGGGTGGTGTGTCTGTTGCGGTCGGGCCGAGACGCGGGAAAACGGAAGGCGAAGGTCATATAGATGCAATGCGCTCGAGTCAGTAGCGAGAAGGAGGGTTTGGGGGGAAAGCGCATGAATGACGGTTGGGGCATCAACGGAGCTGCAGAACAAAAGATAAGTCAATAGAAGTCCCCCACTCACTGCTTGTCCCACGAAACTATATATATATATATATATTTGACAGCCATTGTAAGACTCACCCATCTTTCTCCGGGGGAATTGCAATCTTGTTTTCCACCACACCGGTCTCTGCCTTTGCAGCTTTAACCAATCCATCTGTTCCAGCGGAGTACAGCGATTCACCGTCAATTCCAAACGTTAAGCACCGACAGCTGCCCTTATGTCTTCTCGTCCTCCACATCGTATCAATATGTCCTCGGCCATTTCGCGATGAGGAAGTCGACGCCTGATCGTCGTCACTGTCCACTTCATCTGACGGAAGACGGAAGGTTTCAACATGACCGGAGGCAAGCCCAACGGAGACAATTGGCTCCTTGGGGTGTATAGCCTGCGTGAATAGATCCGCAGAAAGCGGTAATGTACAGACTGTGTCAAACATAGCGATTCAATGAGGGAAAAACAGGTCACCAATCTTCCCTTTTTTTTTTTTTTTTTATTCCCCTTTGGAGCTCTTGGATAAACCTTGGAAGCTCGGATCGATTTCCCGCTTGAGCAAGTACGGGCCGATGGATCTTCCGCGGGCGGTTCCACCTGTTAAATATATATATTCACTCGTTTGGTCGATCATCTACTACTCCATATACTGCTGCTACTTATTAGGATTGGTGCTACAGTACTCTGCACAATATAAATCCAAATATAATGAAAGACTCTGTCTCGTCAATTTGTCCTAATTGAATACAGACGAAGAAAAGAACGCGAATCACAGAGAATGTCATAAAATCAAATCGAGTCAAATCCCCTGATTCTGCGCGGCAGAACCAAGGCAAACAGAAATGAAAGAAAAGAGCAATGTATCGAGACATCTGTCCTTGCTAGGGCCTCTATCCAGAACGTCTTTTTCCCATGCTATGTACATGTTCTCGCTCAATGTTTCCAATGCCAAACCCAATCGGGCTAGCCTTGACTGCCCCTAAATTCTGGCACTTAAGCTGGGGCGTCGAAAGTAGAGCCGATCGGTCCGAACTTGATGTTAGAGTAGGTCACGGTGGAACTGCCGTGCTGCGCCTCGACCGTCTCAGGGTCACCGACGTGTGGCTCGCAGGTGCCACGAGCGACACCGGGGGTGCTTGCGTCAGCGTCTTCTGGGTAGCTGCTGTCCAACCACATCATGCTGGAATGGTGGTCATCCCAGACACTGAGAGTTAGGACCATAGAAGACAAGGCATCGCCCATGCCCTTGAGTCCTCCGTGCTGCGTAAAGATGTCGTCGTCGCCAAATGCCGTCTTCTGGGCAGTGCAGAAGTCGGTGGTGATCGAGTTACCAGTGACACCTTCAACGTTCGATGCGGCATTGGCGATGACCTTACCGCCCTGCACGTAGAAGCGCTTGATCTCCGACAGGGCACCGGAGTCAGTGCCGTCGGCAGTGATGAATTGGGTCACCACGGTAACTGGGGAAGAAGAGTCGACGAGCTTGCCGGGGCCATAGAAAGACTCATTGCCCATGCGGTAAGCGTTGAAGTCACAACCATCAGGGTCGCAAGTTCCGCCATAACGATCCGCGGAGTAAGTTCCTCCACAACTATCGCCTTCACACATGGTCTGAGCGGTATCATCGCAAGGATGGGGCGTGTAGGCCGTAGAGATGCTGTTGGCTTCCCAGATATCCATCTCGGGGCAGCAGGAACCGTGGCCACCAACACCGGCATTCTTGTCGCTGTCGGAGGGCTCCCATCCTTCCACGTTGGCCTGATTTCAATTGTTACTATCTTTGGCCGAAAAAATCAAGGCGGACTTCTTACCTGACCGTTGATAAACTTCAAGTCTCGTGGGCACTGTGAATCACAGTAGCCAGTTCCATACTTGGCACCAGCCTTGTTGGTTGAGTACTTCGCGACACCACCGTCGGCGTCCATGGAGACGAAGTAAACGGCGCCGTTCAAGCCACAAGGAAGCTTGGAAGCATCCACATCAAAAGTGAACTCATTGTTCAAGAGGTTGAATGTCTGGTATGACTCGTCGTCGTCTGCCATCAGGTACAGACGAGAGCCGATGTTGGCACCGGTGACAAACTGGAGAGTCAGGGCATCGCCGCTGGTGGTAACACCGTAAGTGCCCTCGTAATCGGCTCCGTCCAGCGCACAGTTCGAAGCGCAGGATTCGTTGTCAGGGCAGAGGCTGGCATCCCACTTTATGTTGATTCAGTCAGTCAGATGTATATGTCCCTTTGGGATAGATGTGTGGATGGAAACTTACAGTGTTGCCGGTGTAACAGTTAGTGGAACCGTCAACAGAGTGCAACCAACGCCAGTTGGAATCAAGCACAACAGAGCCTTTCTGCTCAGTGCAAGTGCCACCAGCAGCACACTTTTGCCAGGTCAAGGAAGGGTGTGTTTCCGCCGTCAAAGTTCCAGCCTGCTGGGCTTGGACAGCAGTCCAAAAGGCAGAGAAGAGAAGTGCACGTTGATGCATTGCGAATACTCAATGGAAAGAGAGAATGGATTGAATTGAACTCGTTGCTGCTGTTGCCTGTCCTGCAGAGATATTATTCTGATCTTGAGCAGGAGGCGTCCGGTCTTTATATAGCCTGTCTGCCATCAAAATTAAGAGAGAAACACCCTGGTGTTCATTTCGGAAAAATTCCTGTACGAAGCCCTATCCATACTAGCCGGTGCAACGGACCGCGATGCCGCTGAAATGACCGTTTCATAGAGATTGAGGAAGCCATACAGGAGCCGCCGGGATCACATGAGCATATTGCTGTTGAGGTACAGCCAAGAGTGGAGCCTGGAGCGTTCATGACATATGGGCAATGAGCACTTGAGGACTGTTGGCGCGCAAGGGCTGTAGTTGGTCTGAGATGGTAACGGAGTATGCTCCGAAATAATGCATTAAGCAATATCCTCAACAGTTCCGGTTAGAGAATTACAGGAAGGGGAAGAACCATGGCCCTTGCTAATTTCCAAGTCTGTCCGCAAGGTGAGGAGATGTGATGATACATGCTTTTCGGGTCGGCGTTCCGACCTAAAGAGACTAATAAGAACTATACACGAAGGTATATCCTACTGCCAAAAGCTCGATTCGATCAGGGAAGGCGCACGAAACTGGTGCCATATTCCCAACAGACATCCTGCTCGGGTGAATGTCTTCTTCACGATTGTCGCTCCGGCTTGTCCGGCCAATTCTTCCTTTGCCGGAGACTAGGCATTTGTGGTAACCTCAGACCGGGTATAGTAGATCGAATCTTGGTTCTAATCCTGGTTTGGGAAGTCGATCGGCAAGACGAAACTCCCTATAGATGTGGGTTAAGGACGAGGTGGTCTGATGCGTACTAATTGGTCACGATGCAGATTCTGAAGCATTGAGTGTTGAGATGAAGGATTGACCCATCATTAAACGCCCTGGATAAAACCCTGCCGATCGCCGGAATGCGGGGGAGAAGATCCATCAATGAAATCAAGCCTCGCGGCGCCCTTGACATGTCGGCACTGTTGTTCGTGGAATTGTGGCTGCCAGATGGCGCCCGGGGAACTTGGCATATCGTGGCTAATGCAACCATTGACTCTATTCCAACCAATATCAAACCCGGCATTCTTCGATCAAGGGCACCGTTGCAGAATCGGGGTCTTGGAACACATAGTAGGCGACAGCAGCCCTCCGTGCCGTTCTTGTAACTAGAGCATCTCGTGGTGCATAAGAAATATGCAGCTAGGATCTTCGGTAATTATCCGCGACAGTTATCCCTGTAGAAACTCATCTCTGGAGCAATACGATTGTGGTCTTTCAATACAGCCAGTTGTGAACTTGTGACCTGATAGGTTTGTGGGGCTTGGTACCTTGCAGATCGTTTCCTTATCCATACCTTCTGCCTGATTATCCTTCGGCAGCTGTCAGATTAGAAGACCAGACTTCATATTTAGCCGGTATTCTGACCCCAAAATGACCAGACGGAACATTCATCCGTATCACTCTGGTGACCACTATTAGGGTCTTGGCCATTATCCTATCGCTTAGACGGAGGTGGGAAGAGAAGAAAAAAAACCCCCCAAGGACCCCTCCTTGGGATATTGTAATTTCATCGTCGCCACTTTGATTCGATATGCCGTTGTCGAGGGGGACATACAATGGAGGACCTAACTTGTCCTCTCACCTGATTCTTTTTGCTCTACGTCTACGAGTGGGCTTTAGCTCATGTAGACATCCTATTTGATTGTCTCTTTCCATTAACCCTGCATCCTTTTGCCCGATCACCTGTATATCTCTAACAGGACCCTAGTACCTATTTAGAATCACATATAGCATAAGTCTAGCCTGTAACGAAAAATTGTAAGGGAAGGTAAGCCGTGGAATGCCATGGGAATATTCTGCACATGGCCGGTCCTCTTTTGCTTCTTTGATATCTACTCCGAATATGGAAACATGAGTGATAAAACCAGATGGAGCCTCAGGCCGACGAACCTCGGCTTAACAGTAGCCCCACTACTACTAACTACTAGTCAGATGAATTCCAATCAATGATCACACCCGAAAAGGAAAGATGCAGCCGAGACGGACCGTCGGCACTCCTCTTCATTCTTCCCTTCACTCCACCCACAGTCTTTCATACTTTCATTCATTGAGCACCGATTGATTCATTTGTTGGTTTGAAACCATAGACGAACTTAGACATACACTTAGACATAGAGGGTAAAAAGGAACTTTGCATCATGGCATGGTATAGCCAGACTGTCGACATTCTTCGCGATTCGGTTGCGAACCACCGCGCCCAACTTCCCGTGCTTGCTGCGACAGGGGCCTCGTTGACTGTGGGGCTCCTCTTGCGATCCCTTCTCACCGATAAACATCCACAAGGTTCTGTCCTCCATTGCCCCCGAGCCATAGTCTCGTCCTCCACGTTGGTGGCAGAGAAGGGTGAAATTCCTCTTCCAAACGATGTGCTCCCGGGGGCTCGTGATGTGCCGACTCCGTATGGATCGATGCGAGTGTATGAATGGGGTCCACTAGATGGACCGAAGGTCTTGTTTATCCATGGTATCACCACGCCGTGCATTGCCCTAGGTGGAGTGGCGCATGCTTTGGCAGACCAAGGATGTCGAGTTATGCTATTCGACTTGTAAGTAGCCTATTGGTCTATAGCTCTGTCTAGACCTTGACAGGTAGTCCTCCTTCGTTTGTTTTCTTATCTAATACATGGCGACTCAGGTTTGGAAGAGGCTACTCGGATTGCCCGTCCGACCTCCCTCAGGACGATCGACTCTTTGCAACCCAAGTATTGCTTGCTTTGAGCACATCTTCAGTGTCATGGACCGGAGCTGGTAGTGGTAAATTTAGCCTAGTTGGGTACTCCTTAGGAGGAGGGATAGCAGCGTCTTTTGCATCGTTCTTCCCCCAGCTACTTTCTTCACTGGTTTTGCTTGCCCCAGCGGGCTTGATACGTGACTCTCAGATCAGCTTTCAGTCACGACTCCTTTATTCCCGCGGCCTTATTCCTGAACGTGTCTTGGGATTCCTTGTCGGCCGTCGTCTCCGTGCGGGCCCATTAACTACCCCGAAACCCAAATCCCAAAAGATTAACGCCGCGGATGCATTGACCGAGGAACTTCCCTCGCAAGGAGGCGCTCATACTCAACTGTTGTCTCGAGCGTACCCACATGTTACTGTGCCCGGAGCTGTTAAATGGCAAGTTAACTGTCACGCTGGCTTTGTCCATGCTTTCATGTCCAGCATGCAACACGGGCCGATATTACAGCAGCGCCAGCGGGAATCATGGGAGCGCCTTGGTGAATTCCTATCTGCTCAGAGCAAACTATCACCCCAAGAGCAGCAGGATAACGGCCTCCCAAGTAACAAGGTGGTTATTATGTGTGGCGAGCATGACTCAGTTATTGTCAAGGACGAACTCGTCCCAGATGCCACATCCGCTCTCCAGGGAAACGTGGAATTCAGATACTTCAATGCGGGACACGAGTTCCCCAGTACAAAATATGATGACGTAGCACACGCCTTGTTGGAAGTGTTACATTGATAACTGTCTTGCAGCTGGACTATATGACAGGAAACCCCCCCTCTTCCTCATCGAACCGAAGGGCCTGTCGGCCTGTCGTTTGTCCTGGGTATGTGCCCTTTGTATCTTTCCGGGCACTGGGCTGTGTTATGATTGTCCAACCTGATAGACTTGTACATAGAGTGCCCTTTGTGGCCTTATAGACCTCTCGTGGTTTTTTTTTTTCTCTCTTTGGTTAAGCTTGGAATACAGAGTAGAGTTCCGTGATCATTTTTTCAAGATTTCGTCTGTCGCGTCGAGTTGACTTGAGAGCCGTGACACATGATCAGACCGATCTTGCATTCGCGCGCGAGCAAAGTAAGGTTCATCTGCAGCGGGTGACTGGGAGAATCGATCGACCACACTGTTGCTGCTTCCGTCCGGTACATGACTTAGATCTCCTGCACTGAGACCCTTGTTCATGCCGTTCGCCACTCTGCTAGGAGCACAGAAAAGTCAGGGGGATGGCCATACAAATGGACAAGGAGTGAGTCTGACCTGGGGAGTTGTTTGCTTCCAGAAGGCATTGTTGGTAATAACTAAAACTCAACCTCAGTCTATGCCACCGGCCTTGTACTGAGATAACTTGACAGTTATACAACTGTGTGCCAAAGCGACTAATGGCACTGTTCGAGAGAAAAAATTGGTCGGAAGTGTATTTTGTTAGCGTTGCAATGAAGAGAAACTCCGAGAGAGTACAATCAACGAGCTTGAGTGGTAGAAACTGCCGTCTTTTCTATATATCAGGTTTGGTGTTGCTGTGTTGCTAACCTTGTGAATGTGCTAGGGAAAAGCGTGGAAGGATTATAAGTTTATATACTACCTCGTCGAGGTATATATCCTGCAACTGCTTACAAAGGGAGCCTGACTTTTTTTTTGATACAAGAATAGAAAGACGAAGCCTCTACGATAGCTTAGCTCGGAATCGACAAAAAAAAAAAAAAAAAAAAAAAGACTCGCTTGCGGGTGAGCAACGCAGAGATAGGGATCTTCGGCTTGACTGCATTTTTGGGCATCGTATCTCTAACCGTTCAGTCGGAACAGCCCCGATGATTATCTTCATTTACTTTGAACGGAGAACCAAGCCTGTTTAGGTCCGCCACATGGTGAGATGGGGCTCTGCCCTGCATATGCTTTTAGCAAGTCCACTTAACGGGACCCACCCAAGGCATTGCCATGACGGAAGCTACAAAATTAGTTTCACGGGCTCTAGACCCAGAAGGGGCTGGTTTTCCGATGATCATTTGGGAGGAGGGGGTGGAAACTGGGATATGAAGTCAGACTGGTGCCAGGTTGGGGTAGAGTTGGGATCCGGAATGGACATTCTGGGGAACCCATGACCGACAGGTAGCAGGCGCATCGGCGGCCAAGGAGGAAGCATCATCCTTTCGGTATGCAATTCGGGATCCAACAAGGCTAAGCGAACTATGGGGTAAGGAAGGTCTTCAGGATGAACACCGAAATGTCGTCACCGGATGTGTGAACCATGAAAGAAGGGGTAAAAGTGTTGAAAGTTGAAACGCCGACATCAGATTAGGACTCACTCGACACCCCAGATGGAAAAGCTTCGTCACGAGTCTAGACCGAGATTAGAACCTGTTCATGGGTAGGATAGGGAAGGGAAGGGAAGGGGGGTCAGCAACGAACCGTTTGAAGCTTGGACGGAGATCGAACGGACGTGGGCCAACGTGGTTGATTGCTTTAGTGGACTGATCATGCACTGCCACAGCTGATACTACTAGTCGTAGTAGTAAGCTGATACCTGTCTCTGGGATTTTCTAGCTCAGTACCCACTCACTCTCTCTCTTCGCCCCCCCTCTACTCCAAAATCACCCTCGAATGATGAATCCTTTGATTGCTGTTTCGGGTCAGGATCGCCAAGGACACGCTTCCCCAACGTGCCCATTAGAATGCTGTTCCGACTCGAAAAATACATTGGCAATAATGCGCAGACAGCGTTACTTGCAGACAGTTAGGGCTCCGCTTCTCAATTATCTTAATCACTCTCGAAGAATGTGGAAATCCATGCCAAGGAATACTTTTCCCATTTGCGAAATTGCGACCGCACATGTCTGGACATTTGACTTCCTTACTGTGCAAGAATCTTTGCCCTTGTTTTCTTTTTTTTTCTTTTTCTCTTTCCCTCATTACCATCTGATTGCGTCCCTCCTTCTGAAAATGCGCCAAGTCATGAATATGGGATAAGAATATTGATCACCAGTTTAATGTTTACATCTCTCACATACTCTGGTTGTCACAGACCTTGTTATGCTTCGTTGACGACGTGAATTTGAGCCCTGGTCCTTTAATCAAACGACGAGCCTTCTAATTGCTAGGAAGAACTTCTAAGTTACGCCTCGTTCGCGTTGCGGGTTTGCCTGCAGAAGTCAGGAGCTTGACTCGTCGAAAGGGGCGTTTTTTTTTATGCCGGGGTAACCGAAATTGAGATGGCCCTGAAAAAGCAAATCTGCTTCTTTTTCTTTTCTTTTTTCTTTTTTTAATTTCCAAATTTGGTACTAACGACGACGGGACTCAGGTTCAAGTCAGTATGCCCCCATTATGGTCCTTCTTAGCGGGCAATCGATAGATGATCCGCGGAGCTAGCCTACTAGCCTGCCCCTTTAGCAATGGCTTACCATAGAGCCGGGTATGTGATCTCGCTCTAATCACGTAGCCGAAAACATCTTGTGGCCAAGACACAACCGCAGCACACGAAAAGGGGTACATTGATTCGACTCGTTTGGTTTCTTGCTAAGCGATCCCCGATTGACTCTCTCTCTCTCTCTCTGTCCATAATTCAATCTAATGCAGGTGTCATACCATGTTTGTGCGCCGGGGAGAAAGGTTCGTGGCAGTGTTTTAGCCTCCCTGAACCAAAGAGAAGCACTTCCGCGGGGAAAGGACGCGCTCGGGCATCTTGGTTCCCAAAATAAATACTCACTCATGAGATGGGATTGGTCGGTATGCTAGGGGTCCCCGGTCGGTGATATCAATTATTTTGATTGTTATCGACACGGGCGTGCATAGTCCCGCTTTCCAACCATGCAAGGTACGCGCTTGGCCCGAGCTGCGTCAATCCAGCAACCTTATCTTCTCGAGTTGAGCATGAGCTGGTGTTGCCTGACCAGAAGCTCGATCTACAACCCTGCATGAGCGTTCACTTTGTTATGTGCGTACGGTGTAGCGCGCTAGTATGGAGTTCAAGGGAGCGCCTGCTGTAGGTCCGATCACGGATCTGACAGATCGAATTGCAGCAAACTGATAGCGATTACATGCAATTCTTTCGCTTCAACAGATATCTAGACCCCATTTCTTTCTCCCCACCAAGTACGCCATGCCGCGTGGTATCTCTGGCCAGGAACTCAAGAGCACAACGTCTCGAACCGAGCCGAATTATGGCGGCTGCAAGTATTCCGAGTTTAAACATGATTCACGGAAGCAAGGGGTAAACAGTCAGCTCCGCTGTCACAAAATATGTCCGTTCAAAGCGACTCTCGTAGTATTATTGCACTAATGAGGAGAATCTGGCGGACACAACCGAAAGGGAATGTATTGGGGCTGCTGATCTTACCTGAGCGAGAGAAGCGATGTCGTATGAAACAGCTAACTGAATTCCGGAGAATTAAGCTCCTTTTTTTTTTATTTATTTTTATTTTTTATTTTTTTTCTTCTCCTCTCCCGTTGGCGTTGCACGCCGTCCCTTGTTCTCACCCCTTTCCCAGGAAAAAAAGAAAAAAAAAAAAAAGGGTATAGGGTGATAACCTATGTCTGTGCAGGAAAGATGAAACACCGGCTAGATGCCCAGAGGCACTTGTGAGGTGACGACAGCAGCTGATGAGGCCTCTATTTGGCGAGCACTTTGACAAGGACGAAATGAATTGACAATCGGCTACTGCCGACAGCTCCACCTCTTTTGCTAGTAGTGATCTGTTTATGATCGCTCACCGGGTTGCTAGCCATCCTTGTCTCATCTCAGCGATTCGCATATTCGGTCTCTCGGCATCCTAGCCAAGGGTTTCCCTTGAATTGCTCTTACCAAGCGTGGAAAGTGTAGATTCTGGTCAGCGGACGCAGGCACTCGAGGTACTTCCCAAAGAAAAGACGAGTTGATACAAGTGGGACGCTAAAGTCCGCAAGGAAATGGCATCCGCTATACCTAACCCTCAACGTATTGCTACAGGATGTTGTCTATTGGTAGGATTGAACAACTAAATTTCGTGTATCCATCGTCCTTGGCCTAGACTTACCTGGAGCTTGTTTTCTTTTTCTTCTTTTTCTTCTTTTTCTTCTTTTTCTTGTCTTTTTTTTTTTTTTTTTTTTTTTTTTTTTTTTTTTTTTTTTTTTTTTTTTTTTTTTTTTTTTTTTTGTTTATTTTTCGCCAATGCATGTTTGAAGACGATCCCATGACCCAGCCTTGGATGTTCTAGTCTGGTATGCAACACACTCACGGCTCTACATAGCACAAAGATAGGGCAATCTCCCAATGATGTCGTATGCCTTTACTAGTAGTACCCTTTGAAAGGATGAGAGATGAAGGCGGTGCCCATCAAGACCCTGAAGTAAGTGGAAATTGCCCTCGGGGTGCCACGAATCCAGGAAACCGTTTTTAGTACACTAGACGACAGCCCATATCTCATGACTAGATTCCACCCCACGTTTTCACACCCCATGCTCCAGGCCCAACGCATATGGACCCAATGATGGCACATAGTGATTGCAGACACTTTCTAGCTGTCTCGGCCAAGGATGCAATCATTTGTAGTCAACCTCACCTTGTGTTACCCTCCCACATGATAGGGTTTTGATTTTGGCCAAATTCTGGAGTTGTTGATGCGAGATGTTTGCACCGTTAGCACATTCTTGAGCAAATTTGATACCCCGCCGTTACCGCGATAGCCGGACTGGCTTTGCAATCGCTTCTCTGAGGTCAGATGGCCTTCATGAATGCCAGATGCAAGACTTTTTTCCTCTTTCCCCTGCGATAGACAGAAACAGGCTGATCATGTCCGAGTGAGGTTTTTGACAGCCCTCTGTGGGATTCTCTCTGAGATGGTTTTCCTAAGATCTCGGTACTAGTTTTCCGGACGCTAGGAGAATGGTAAGAAACTCCCAATACGCGTCCTGATGCTTTCAGTATTCTGGGCCCTGGTAATCAGTCCGATGGAATAGGACTGATACGCAGTGAGGTAGACCGCTCCAAGACTAGATCACGGGGAGATTGCACTGGTGCTGATCATCTCATTGATGTGAAGTGACAAACGGAAACTTGCCTCAAGGCAAACAGCTAGGCAACCATGATGAGTTTGACTGGGTCAACTGATGGGCCTGCATTTTTACTATCTAGGTTAGAGATCACTCAGGTGATGACCAAGCCTGCAGCGTTTTACATAATGTTTTCCCACCAGGGAATGATCCCAGGCCACGTTTTCGCCAGGTCATTCCTATGCAAACAGGTTGATCTGGTTTTCCATATTGCTCGGCCCACAGGACACCGTCTGCAAGTGTGTGATGTCACTGTACAGTTACACGATAAGCCATGGCGAGCGACAATGACAGTTGGACGCCAGCCGTATTGTTCCTAGGAGAACTGAGAAAGCAGGCCCGGTCTCAGGTGGGACAAAGGTGCTGAGAATTGCCTGACGGCGGACGCTAATCAGGGCACTTTTTTTTTTTTTTTTTTT